GGGACGCCCGGACCCCCGAGGCCCCAGCCTTCGTGGTTCAGTCTCCGTTCGTGCAAAACCGGGAAGAACGCGTCCTCCTTTAGGGAGAATCGGCCCGTTCACCCGAAGGAGTTGTTGCACTTTTGCTTTCACTCTCCAGGCCTGTTGGGGTCTCTCTTACCCGTTACGTGTTGGGTTTTGATTTTGTCCATGTTGTCGAATGCATTCTCATCATCTTTTTTAAAAAAATGTATTTTTATTGATTTCAGAGAGGAAGGGAGAGGGAGAGAGAGTTAGAAACATCAGTGATGAGAGAGAATCACGGATCGGCTGCCTCCTGCACGCCCCCCACCGGGGATCGAGCCCACAACCCGGGCATGTGCCCTTGACCGGGAATCGAACCCAGGACCCTTCAGTCTGCAGGCTGATGCTCTATCCCAGCGGTTCTCAACCTGTGGGTCGCGACCCCGTTGGGGGGTCGAACGACCCTTTCGCAGGGGTCGCCTAAGACCACCGGAAAACACATCTATAATTACATATTGTTTTTGTGATGAATCACGATGCTTTCATTATGTTCAATTTATAACAATGAAAATACATCCTGCATATCAGATATTTACATGACGATTCATAACAGTAGCAAAATCACAGTGATGAAGTAGCAACGAAAATAATTTTATGGTTGGGAGTCACCACAACATGAGAAACTGTATTAAAGGGTCTCGGCATTAGGAAGGTTGAGAACCACTGGTCTATCCACTGAGCCTAGCCAGCTGGGGCGCATTGTCATCATCTTGTCCTCTGATGCTTTTTTATTTTTTAAGAAAAGTCAATCCGTGTATCCTAATTGGGCCGTTCTCAAATTGCCGCCTGTTTATGAAATATTCGGGACGTGCCTTCCCCAAACATGCCCATCCATCCTTTAAGTCATTTTCATTGTCCCTTTCTGGTTTCTTTGTTACCACATTTCAACACTTAATTCTGTTACCGGTTTTTACTTGATAAGAATCGAGCGGGGTTGAGAGATGGACTGTGCAATGCAGTGGACAGTAGCTGCATGTGACTTTTTATGTTTAAACGAGTGGCCCAGTGCACGAAATTCGTGTGTGTGGGGGGGAGGGAGGTCCTTCAGCCCGGCCTGCACCCTCTCCAATCTGGGACCCCTTGGGGGATGTCCGACTGCCGGTTTAGGCCCAATCCCTCTGGCAATCCGGGACCGCTAGCTCCGAACCGCTCACCTGCCTGCCTGCCTGATCGCCCCTAACTACTCTGCTTGCCGGCCTTCTCTCCTCCAACTGCCCCCGCACTGACCTACTGACCCCCTGCCGGCCTGCTCGCCCCCAACTGCCCCCCCACCCCCCATCCCCATCCCCGCTGACCTGATTGCCCCCAACCGCCTCTGCCTTGGCTCCGCCACCATGGCTTTGTCCGGAAGGATGTCTGGAAGGTCTCCCGGTCTAATTAGCATATTACCCTTTTATTAGTATAGATGAATTAAAAATAAAAAATTTGAGTTCATCGGTGGCTGTAGCCGCATTTCAAGTAGCTCAGTAGCCACATGTGGCTCATTGCACAGGGCGTAAATATAACATTTTTATCATTGCAGAAGATTCTGTTGGGTCAAGTTGATTTCCAGGTGTTTTCCCTTTGAGTAAGGTCCTTTGTAACTGTGTTTAATTAATGTATGTTTTATTGTATTTTATTTTTCAGGATACACCTTTGAGTACCTTATTGAAACATTAAATGACAGTTCACGCAAGAAGTTCTTCAATGTACCTAAACTTGGAGGCACCAAGTATGGTAATGTCGCTTCAGTTTTCTTGGGCTTCTTTTGTTTCTAATAAAAATGCGTTTGTCAAGCTGAGCTGGGAAAAAAAATAAGTAAATCTATGCCCACCGTGTTGTCAAAGGTACAACTACACGTAGCTCTAACATTTTTAAAAGTTTTGGGACCACTTTTGTTTGAGAAAGATGTAAGCCCCTGCTTTAACTTCTCATTTAAAAACCTGCGTTAATTAAGCAATGATTTTTTTTTTTAACCCGTGTAAACTATTAATACAACTTAAAAAAGCCTGACTGGTGATATTCTACAGCTGTTTATTGTATATTTTAATTTTTCAAGTGAATAATGCCCATACTTCCTTGTCTCGGATTTGAGTTTTTCTCCGGGCCTGGCCGTGGTGCCCGGCCTGTGCACCAGCACTGTGCCAGACCTTTGCAGGCACTTGATCGCGGTCCAACCTTTCACCGAGGTTCCCGAAGCGTGAACTTGGCTGAGCCCCAGGGCACTGGATGGAAGTCTTGGCTTTCTTGACAGTTGAGGGACTTTCTCAACCAGGTCAATGAAGGGAAGACCTGTTTGGAGGAAGGATTATTGTTGTCACACTTTTTAGTAAAAACTACTTGATAGTTAAATGTCAAATATATTGACATCAGTTTTGGAGAGAGCTTTTCTTTACCTTGTCTTTTTTTTTTCCTTCTCGCGTTATTTAATTAAGAAGATTGCTTTTGTGTGTGTGTGTGAGAGAGAGAGAGAGAGAGGGAAGCATCGATGTGAGAGAGGAGACACAGTGATTGGTCGCCTCCCGCACATGCCCTGACCAGGGGTGGGGAGCAAACCCACAGCCCAGGTACGTGCCCTTGACCAGGAATCCAACCTGTGACCCTTCAGTGCTCTAACCATTGAGCACACGGGCCAGACCTTTATCTGTAGACCTTGATGGACTTGAACGTTCTAGATTGCCACTAGCCGTGTTATCTCGTAGATTATGAGAAGACTTAGATGTTCTGGAGTATCTTAGAAGGTCCTTGTCTTAGAATTCTGTTGCCATTCAACAGCAGACAGCTCACCGCCGTGATTGCCTTTTTAGTGACGTGGGCTGCCTGGCATTCCAGTGCAGTGACTACAGCCTCGGAGAGTCTGCGTGATTCTCTTAAGGAGATCTTTGAATTTGGAAATACATCTCTTTCTGTTGTAAGAGAGCCTGGCCTTTTCCGAAGGAACTGGGACTTGAGTTGATGTGAAACGGGTCACAGGACCGTCAGCGCCGGGGTGAGACTGCACAGCATGGTGGGAACACGGGGAGACAGGCGGGAGGCTGGCCTGCGGTCGGGAACCTGGAGCAGCTGTGCAGGAGGCCTTCAGCCGGCCTGACCCCAGCCCCTCTTCCTTTCCGTGGTCTCGCTCACCCTTTCTTTTTTCCTTTTCTACCGGTTTTTTTTAACCACAGGACTGGCTAGTCCTGCAGTAGAGGCAGGACTTGGCGTTCCCAAACTGAAAGAAAATCTTTAATTTTTTGGGAGAGTTTCTGTGGTTTAGAAGAAATTAGGTTGGGGTTGAGAATCACACAGAGACAGGACCGTTACAGACGGCAGAGACTGGCTTGTTTAATGCAAATGTGCTGCTTTTTACAGAGGCAGTAAATGCTGTTTGTAACCTTTTTTCCGGAACACATCACATCATGAGCCTCTTCCATCCCCTAAACGCAGGTTTCTGTCCCTCGGTGTCGGATCCCCCGGGCCATGGAGCCTGGGCTGCTGGGAGGGGTGCCTGTGGGACCGAATCGGCTCAGTTCGCAGGCCCTTGAATGGGGAGGTCGTTGCCAGCTTCTTCCTGTTCACAAGTAAAGCTGCTGTGCATGTGCGACGTGTGTTTTGATGCTTATTATATGCTTATTATATAGATGGTTGGGTTGAAAGTGGGGTGTTCTCTCCACCCTCAGCAAATGCTTTTCCTCTTGCACTTTCACTGTACATCCTCTGTTCCAGTCTTCACTCTTGCATATAAGGAACAAAAACTCCCTTAGCTCAGCGCTCAAGGCAGAAGTTGCCGTTTGCTGACGCCCAAGGACAGGACAGCAAGCCCAGCCTCGTGGGAACCCGCGCGTCTCAGCCACAGTCTGTTCTGCTCGTCACTGTCGCTGCCTGGGCCCTTTGTCCCTGAGTCCGTGAACATCTCTCCAGTCTTCTCGCTACAGCCCCTGACTCAGGGTAGCGTCCTCCACAGCCACTGCGGCCGCTCTGTGTATGTGGCGACTGGCTCACCAGCCCGTTAAGACAGTCCCTCTGAGGACTTTTCCACCACCGTGTTCACCTGCTTAGGCTGGGCTGCCAGGTTTCTGGCTGGGACAGGGGTACGAGTCCGAGTTTTCTATCTTTCTCCTCCGTGGGCTCTGGAGAGGCCTGTGCGTCGGGTAGGGATTGCCTTTACCCACCCGATTCCACTCGCCAACCCTCTGCATTGTGTCCAAGGTCTGTTGGTGGTAACTCTGCTTCTGCTGACAGTCTCTGTTGTAGGTTAGGCCTTTGGTGGTAAAGAGCAGACACCACCGGGTCAGGGGAAGGAAGACTCACTGTGGGGACGAAGCTCCCAGGCCAGCGACACGTGGCTGCCTCTTAGAAGGTGGCCGAGGGCCAGGACGCTCCTTATTTTTTCTCTCGGGTTTCAGATTCCCGCCCCTCTGCTCCCTCTGCTCCACTGCAGGCAAGCCTCTGCCTGTGAGCTTTGCACATGGCCCTGGCGGCAGCTCAGCCCCTGTGGCAGCTCAGCCCCTGTGGCAGCTCAGCCCTGGCTTCGCTCTGACCCCTCTCTGGTCTGGTCTGTGCTGATGGCAGGTCCCTGAGTGAGGGGCCCAGTGCTGCAGTGTTTTTTCTCACTGGCTGTTGGTCGTTGGCCTCCAAGGGCTTCTTGCTTCAGGGCCGTGGCCAGGGAGGAGTGGACACGGGACTGTATCCCATGGAGCAGCGGGGGCGGCCCCTGGGAGCACAGGGCCGGCCGCCTGCTACCAGGTGACTGAGGAGAGTGTCTGCACCTTCATCTGTAACAGTTTTTCTTGTTTCTTCTGTTTGTCAGTGAGTGGCAGGATAATCTTAAGCAGGAATCTGTGTGCTCTTCTGCCTTTTCTCACTCTCTCTGGCAGTCCACGAACAAAGGCTGGTTCTTACTGGGAATCGGTGCCGTCCAGCCGGGAACGGGCTGGAGACAAGCACGCAGACGTGGTATGAGCTCACCCAGGGTCTTGTTTTGTTTGTTAATCCTCATCCCAGGATCTTTTTCCCATTGATTATGATTTTTAGAGACAGTGGAAGGGAGGGGAAGAGAGAAAGAGAGACATCGATGTGAGAGGCCTTGGGCTGGGGATCGAACCTGCAACCCAGGAATTGAACCTTGACCAGGAATTGGACTCGAGGCCTAACCACTGAGCACACCTGCCGGGCTCACCCAGTACCGCTTCTCCAGGCTCCTGGCCTTGAGCAGCTTCTGAGGTTTGCCTGGAGCTTCTCTCGTGCTGCTGCTCCTGGCCGAGGCCTCGAGTGAGCGCGCCCGCCCTTGCGTCTGGGGCGCTTCTGCCTCGTTTAGTTGACTAACGTCTGCTGACCAGCCCCTGTTAATACTGCTGTCGCCCGTGGGTGGTTTCTCCGTCCACAGGGAGCGCACAGAGCCCGGGGGCATCGTCTGCCTGTCTCACTCCCTTGCTGGGGGATGGGCAGGGAAGATGGCCTGTCTCCACTTCACAGCGATGAGGAATGGCCTCTAGGAACTGAGTGATTTGCCTGCAGTCGCACCCCTTCCCGTGAAGAGCTTGGGCTTAGACCCTGTCTTCTACTTCCAGACATGCTGTCCCCTCAGCGCCACGTTCCCCGGTTGGTCTCGCAGCGACAGAGCTGCTGTTTATTGATCATGGACTCCATTCCTCCTCAGTGGTGGAGGGGACCCTTGAACAAGACTGGCTGAGCCTGTGCTCGGAAGACCTACCGTCCGGACCGCAGGCCGTGCCCACGAGGACACGGCATCACACACGGGAGCCGGCCCTGGCGGAACTGGCAGGCAGAGGGCAGCTGCTCGTGCCAGCAGGTGATGTCGGTGATGAAGAATGTTCTCGTGAGGGATTCCTGGATTTTAAATGTCATCAGGTGGCAGCTGTGACCTCTGCCCTGAGTGGTGGGTGTTGCCCAACCTTAGGAGCAGCCTTTAGTCCTGATGAGCTAGGTCTGCACCTGGGGGCCGGCTGGACCTGCCTCACGGCCCCCCTGACCCCGGGCAGTGGCAGGCTCTGGAGCCCCAGCTCCTGCGGATCCTCCCCCAAGCGCTTGACCAAAGTGAGCCTGTTACCCGCTCATTTGGGAAGTGACAGCACAAGCCGTCCACTGCTCCAGCCTCAGCTCCCAGCTTGTCCTGTCCCCACGGGTCTGTCTGATCTGTGGTTACAGGTTAGCTTTCCGGACTCGGGATCCTGGAGATTCCTGGGTGGGAGGGGCGGGGTTAACTCAGTTTCTGGGGGGCCTGGGTCCCCCCAGCACTGGAATTCAGTCCGTCGGCCTTGGTGGGTGCTCCCTGGGCGGCAAATGCACGACGGCTCAAGCAGCGTCTTTGTGCTGAAGACGCAGATTGCAATGGGGCACGAGTGGGCAGTACAGGACAGTGCCTCCGGGTAGCAGGCGCGGTTCCATCACAGGCTACAGCAGGGGACGATCAGTGTAAATGGTTACTGACGGTGCAAGGACAGCAGCCCCCCCACCCCCACCCCCTGTGAACGCGGTTCCAGAAATAAACAGTTCCTACGCCTTAGGCTGTGCGCTGGGAGGAGTGGGGGGATTTTGGGCCCTCCCGCTTCATTCCTCCTGGAACATGAATATTCGGTGTCTCCACGCTGTACACGCTCCCGCTGTTCGCCGCTGAGCAGCCGTCCCGCCATCGATGGCGTGTCGCGGTGCTGGTGGTGCTGGCGATGCGGACATGCCAGAGAGAAGCCTTAAGGCGCTTCCTTTATGTGGAAAGTGAACGTTTTTCAACTTAAAGC